CAAAAATAATGACGTCACATGAAACAAATAGAAAAATACTATTATGAAAGAATGTTAATAAAAAGTTTAAATTACGGAAAGTACAAAACACTAATGACGTAATTGATTGTAGGATTAAAATTAGAATCAGAGGCGTAGCGACCCCTCCCGATGCTCGGGGACAAACTTTCAAATTGGCGCCCCCCCCCCATAATTTTTTTATATATTTATATTTCAAAATAGCAGCTAAATTAGCTTATTTTGGCTCCCCTAGGGTCGGCGCCAGGGGACATATGTACCCTCCCGCTTCGCTACGCCTCTGAATAGAAGTAAAAATCGTATGTCGAAAATGATTAATAAAACTAATGATGTCATTTTAAAACAGGATAGTTTCCCAGCATCTTTTAATTTTAGAATTATTTAGACCAACACTAAAAAAATAAATAATAGTTTTTAAAAAATACCATTGAATAACCAGGTTTTTAACGGAATTATTTGTCACTTAAGGGGGTAGGCTCCGGAAAAAGGGGGCGGGGAGAATCATAACTAATACGTTTTTTATATTTATTTATGTATGTATAAGTAAGGGTACTTAATGGAAAATGTGTGCATGCTTCAGGAAATCTTCTGAAAGTTTAGTTGCCATGGCAACGGCTGCCATCTTGAAAAAAATAACCTTTGTTGAGTTCTAAAGGTTCTAAAATTAACATATACATTGACCATATAGTCATTGATCTTTTTCTAATACTAATAGAGTCAGCTGGATAGGTTTTGTAACAGAAAACCCGCAAGAAATATTTTTTTCCAATTTTCAAAATAAAAATTTTGCTGGGAAATACCATTAAAGTTAGCATTAATTTAAATAATATTTCGACATGCCAAATTTTGAAAATTCAAAAAAAAAAAAAAAAAAAAGATATAGGCCTACACCTCTAAATAACTAAACCACACTTGATTATGAATTTTATAAAACTTTATTTTTTTATTTTTTTTAAATGTAAAATTTAAATAAAATTCTATGATTTACTTTGTGTTTCAGTTTTTAGTTAATAAAACATGAATTTTAAAAAGATTAATAAAATTTTCACAGGTTTTTTCAACCGACGTCTAAGATAAAACAGCACTAATCAATTAAATTATATATTTTTTAATTTAAAAAAAGTACTGAATTTATTAAACGTTTCTTACTATTAATGTTATTTACTGTTTAAACGGTTTTAAAACTCTGTATATTATTTTTTTTAAATTAAACCTTGAGTTAAAAACGCCGTGAATGTTTTTTTGAAATCGTGAATGTTTAAAACATATATGTGAAATATTGGAGACGAAATTTTTAAAATTGCATAAAACACGTTTTAATTAATAACAAGCATTTATGGTATGCACTAAAAAGGAGAAAATAAATGATTTTCTTGAAATATACAATAAGACACAAGTATTTAAATTACTATCATATATATATATATATATATATATATATATATATATATATATATATATATATATATATATATATGCCAACTCTAAATCAGCCAAATGTCTTTATAGGCTGAACCACGTAGAATTTTGCGCCCAATCGACCAACACGGCTTTCCGCCAGACTTGTGTTACTGGGGTTAAAGTCCAACAACTGAAACCCTCAGACAGCTGAGGGCGCAGAAAGTCGCTGTTTCTGTAGTGATTGTGACAATGGGAGACAGACTGAGTACCGTGTCGTCGTACCCTGTGTAGACCGCTTCCATAGGGTCCATGGACGTCGCCATCGCCTCCAGTTCACAGAAATGAAGAACGTTCGTGGTGTATCTTTGATATAAAGAAAAAATATTTTCCGTTATACAAAACTTAGACTAATATTTTTACTCACCTTACCAATACTCATCATTTGTAAACACAGATTTTTAAATCGTTTATCATCTGTGGCTCAGTAACAAAATTAAATAAAAATTGTTATTGAACAAAAATTGAGATGACACGCTAAATATATATATAACGAGATTAAACGTTTCTTAAAAACATGAATAATAATACTGATATATAATTTATGGTTTTATAATTACTATATTAGTAACAATGATTTTGCTTAGTGTATATCAATGGTACCTGATCAATCTGAGAAAAGTCCCCAACACTGGAGTTGTACAGTTCCAGACAAAAGTCCCAGGCCCAAGAGGATCGACCTGCTGGTAGCATACGTCACCAGACACCAACGGGAACCCTGTCATCAAGCGCGGGTCTGTTCTAAACACTTCGATCTTGAAGTTTGCCAATTTTGGGGCGACGTAATCAAATCTGGTGTGAATAAGGAAATAAAAAAAAAATAAAAAGTAAACAATATTAATAAATCAGCAATATATGAAGAAAAAACGAATATATAGACATTAGGCCTAAATTACGTGCTGTTTAATACTTTAACAAACACCAACGGTTGTACAACACACTGAGCTATTTCTTAAGGAAGCTATTTAAGTATTATTCTATATTTTAAAAAAAATTGAAAATATAATGATATTATTTTTCTAATATTGTTAAATTATTTTAATAGCAAAAGAAATTTCGTGGTGAGATAATTATCTTTCCATAGTATTTTGTTTGAGATATTTTCTACCAGGATACTTCATCCAGAAACTGTGACCCCATATAAAAAATATTCTGCTAATTATATGTTTAATGTGTATTTTTTTAAGAAAGGTAATTAATTTTATAATAATTTAGAATTACCTTTTTTTAAAAATCAAAAATGATTTTAAAAACAAAACCAAGGAAATAAAAAATGAATAAATATTCAAATACCTATTTCTGTGTATATAATGTTTGTGTAAACAACGTAAAATGTTTTGTACTAAAGTTTAATATCCAAGCGTCTAACCTCTAAAATTAATTTTTTTTTTATTTTAAATGCAGGCGTGTCATTAAATTTACACTCACGATGAAACAATAGCTTACCTGTTTGTGAAAATAATATAGTCAACTAGGTACCATCCTTGTAGGTCAACCAGCCACCAGCTTGCGTACTCGTCCAATGTGTGAGTGCAGTTTAAAAGTACTGGGTCTTGTGTTCTGTTTCCATCATTCCCATAATTCGGCGTATCGTGCAAGACATTGTAATCATACACGGAACTCTGGTACGATGGCTTACGAAGTGCAGCGTTCTCCAACGGCTTGGAAGCGAATACGTGGATTATAAAAGAATTGATGAAGACGATGAAGTTAAAGTAAAACATTTTACCTCTTTTCAACCGCAAGCACGACTGGTAGTCTCTCTTGTAACTATGACTGTCTTAAAAAAAGTGATGCTGTTGTTAAAAGCAATAGTTTGCAAACAATAAAGATGTGAAGATATACAGATGAATAATTCACCATTTCGCTATTACACACATAAAACATGAGAACAAAAGAGCGTTTTATTCTTAAAATCGTTCTGCAACTTTGTGCTCAGGTTTTTTCAGTTTTTTCCTTGGTTTTCTACCGCACCGTCAAATACGTCCGAAACTGTTATCCGTGCTTTATTTGCAACATCAACACAATATTCTATCTGTCACATTGTCACACAACTCTACACACACGCTGGGGAGGGGGGGGGGGGGTCATCCATAATTTTTTTACCTATCTCTGATATCTGCCCACCTGTCCCTGGTATCTGCCCACCTGTCTCACGTATCTGCCCATCTGCCTCTGGTATCTGCCCACCTTTCTCTGGTATCTGCCCACCTGTCCCTGGTATCTGCCCACCTGTCCCTAGTATCTGCCCATCTTTCTCTGGTATCTGCCCACCTGTCTCACGTATCTGTCCACCTGTCTCTGGTATCTGCCCAACTGTCTATGTGCCCCTTGTGTTTGGTATCTACCCATCTGGTCCAGGTATGCCCAACTGTCTCTGGTATCTGCCTACCTGTCTCTGGTATCTGCCCACCTGTCTCTGGTATCTGCCCACCTGTCTCTGGTATCTGCCCACCTGTCTCTGGTATCTGCCCACCTGTCTCTGGTATCTGCCCACCTATTCCTAGTATCTGCCCACCTGTTTCTGGTATCTGCCCACCTGTCTTTGATATCTGCCCATCTGGTCCAGGTATGCCCACATGTCTCTGCCCACCTGTTTCTGGGATCTGCCCGCCTGTCTCTAGTATCTGCCCAACTGTTTATGTGCCCCCTTGTCTTTGGTATCTGCCCATCTGGTCCAGGTATGCCCACCTATCCCTGGTATCTGCCCACCTGTCTCTGTTATCTGCCCACCTGTCTCTGACACTTGACTATCTATTCAGACATGTTTGTTTCCTGCAGTCCTTGTTTACTTGACTCTCCATTGATCTCTCATCGATATTCAATGTCTATGTTACGCTAACACCCAAGACTTCGGCTAGCATCTCTTCTTCCAGATCATGCACAATTGTGGCGGTATTTCTTCTATTCTTACCGTTCTACATTGTTTCATTTTTTTTGGTATAATTGTTGTTTTGCATTTTTAACAACAGTTTTGATTCGTATCTACATTTGCCATCATCATACCTTTATTAAAGAAAGAAGCTGATGAATAATTTGGACTTGGTAAACATCGATTTTCGATTTTCATGATAGAATAGTGTATAATTTGGAACATTGCCTTTTTTGTTATTTATTGAGTGAGTTCTTCCTTCATCCCAACAGGACCGTGTTCTTTTATTGACTTATCACCAATTAAAAAAAAAAACAATTTTTTTACATTTTGAAAGAATTTTTTTTTTCAATTATAAAAAGTTATTCTTTCAATTTATAATAGCACGTTTTGAAATATAAAGCTAATTTACTGAAAGATATCATTAAAATACATAATAATACATATGTTCAAACGACATAGGTTATTTTACTTCGTTCTTAATTACAAGGCTTCCATTATTTTCTCTCCTAGACGGGCCCCTGTGGGTTTGCCTCCAATCCATAACCTTTGCGCTTACAAGAACAGCTACAACTCGGCTGTTTTCTCTCCTAGATGGGTTGCCTTCGACAAGAAAACTAACCACCACACAAGACAATAACAAAAAATAAAGTAGAGAAACATCAGGCACTTTATTCATACAGAAGCAGTATAAACATTACACTCCATGACAAGTCATTGGAAAAAAAAAAATCTCTACTTTAAAAATAAAAACATTTCAATTCATTTAGTTTGGATGAGATTCTTTGTCCATACATTCTTTTATAGAAAGTTGTTTAACAATTTTAGAAGTTTCAAATAATATAGGAAGATATCCTTAGTTAAATGAGTTTCTAATACAATTCAGTTCCAAATTTATATAAAAATATCACCTTTTAATCGGATGATTTATCCTTGTTTTTATTTTAAGTTTCAATAATAATGAACGACAATGAACTTTATTAAAAAAAAATGTTTGTAATAAATAGCTATTGAACCAGTTTAAAAGTAAAACAATATTTAATATAATTGCATATTACAGTTTGTACAATTGTGTATATATGTAAGCCATATAAAATATATCTAAAATGCATAGAGACACATCATAAGAGACATTTTAATTATATTAAACAAACTATTTGGACTTCAATTATGTGGTTTTGTATGGTTAAAATGTATACAACTTACATTACTGATAACAAATTTAATTTTAAATCAAAATTATCCTGTTTTTTGTTTACAGAACATTAGCTAAGTCTGTATAACTTACCCATTTATCTTAATGGTTTATAAAACAACACAGATCTGTCTCTTCCATAACCACTCACAGAATTAATTTAAACAATAGCTCTGCTACATACCATGACCCTTAAGCTAAAACAGAATCACTGACTACACAAGTTACAAAACAATGGATATATATGTACACTGTTGTATATGTTTATTAGTACTAAGAAATGTTTTGAAACAGAAAAAAAATACATACAAACTCCTAGACAACAAGTTAAAAGTAGTAGCACCAATATGAGTGAGAAAAACATGTTCAAATACACAAAAGAGTTACAATTTCTTTCACTTCTTTTATAACATCCAAATTGAAACAAAAAATGACATGGTAAAATGAGAATTATGAAGACACCAGGGAAATTCAGACTAGAATGAAATTTTATTTTTGTCAATTATAAAAAAAAACAAAAAAACTTTTATTTTTCAAAAATAAAACCAATTTGATATTGTGTGATATTTGGTTGAAATCATGTTAAAATTTTTTTTTTAAATATAATTCCTCAATCACAGTTTTAAAATAATTATTTCCACCCTGATATTAATGAGAATGATAAACAGAACCAGTACAATAAATAACAATAACTCTTTCATCCAAGCATCCTTAGAGTAAGTGATGCCATTAAATACAGCATAGCATCAAGTCAGTTGCAAGAAGCTTTCACTGCTCTTCACTATACACACATGGAAATTATATCTATATATTGTGTTATCACTGTATCATGCTTATTCTATCAATTCATTATATTATATTACAAATTACATTATTTTTAAAATTATATTATTTTGAAATTTTTAAGGAGCTTACAGTAAATGTAAAAATATAAGTAATTTCGAATGCCCTACAGTAATTTAAAAAAAAAAATCTAAATGTACAAAATGTGCCTAAATTTAAAGATTTTACAATGATTGTAAAAAAATATTTTGTAAAGGGCTTTTTTGTTTAGAAATTGTAATTTTTTCCTGGTGTTGAAGCGATAACACTTTAAAAAAATTATTTGATTATTCTAGTTGGACATAAGTTCTCTCCCCTTTAACTAAGCTAGCACTTGGCGCTTGACCTTAGAGCGCACCACCTGCAGCATAATGAGTTTCCTGGCACCAAACTTGTCTCCCAGGGCAACGATGGTGCCCTTGTCTTGGCTCATGGTGATGTAGAACACATCCACGCCAGCATTGAAGGCGCAGATCTCCTGCCCATTCTTCAGGCGCCACAGGCGGATGGTTCCATCTCTAGAGCCAGAGACCACGATTTCATTGTCAGAAGAAATGCAAGCGCACCAGACCTGATGATGGATAATAGAGGTTTATAAATAAAAATTTAAGTCAATTTCCTTAAATGTACATAAAACAACCAATTAATAATTGAACATAAAATATATTGCGTTATAGCAAAATACACAAATTTAATCCTAGTTTTTTCATCATCTTCAGTGTAGTGTTTTATAAAATGAAAATTTGAATTTCTTGTCTCTTTTAAAAGCCCCAGATTATTATTTCTCAGTATTATTGATAAATTTCAAAAATTATTTTTTTAAAAATAAAATTAGATAGCCTGGTCTAACAAAATCTGAGTTAAAGACAAATCTTGACACAAAGATAAATCTTGACACAGTTAAAGACAAATCTTGACAGTCACAGACAAATCTTGACACAGTCACAGACAAATCTTGACACAAAGACAAATCTTGATACTGGAAAGTCAAACTTTGGCATAGTCAAAGACAAATCTTGACACAGTTAAAGACAAATCTTGACAGTCACAGACGAATCTTGACACAAATCAAATCTTGACACAAAGACAAATCTTGATACTGGAAAGTCAAACTTTGACATAGTCAAAGACAAATCTTGACACAGTCAAAGACAAATCTTGACACAGTTATAGCCAAATGCTGACTCAGTCGATGACTAACAAAACCCAACAAGAACTAACAAATCCTGACAACAAATCCTGACAAGAACTAACATATCCTGACAACAAAATCTGACAGGAAATAACAAATCCTGACAACAAATCCTGACAGGAACTAACAAATCCTGACAAGAACTAACAAATCCTGACAACAAAATCTGACAGGAAATAACAAATCCTGACAACAAATCCTGACAACAAATCCTGAGAGCAGGACTAACCTCATCATTGTGTCCTGACATGGTACAGATGTGTCTCTCAGTCTCCAGGTCCCACACCTTCAGGGTGCCATCTGTGGAGGCAGACACCAAAAACTTGTTGTCCTGTGACCTTGACACAGCCTTGACCTCCCTGGAGTGGGCGTGTTTGCCTGTGTTTGAAAACAGCTGACGATTTGGTTGACCTAAGGAGAATCAAAAGAGCACACGATTAAGTAAAAAGTAGGAGAATTGTTGACCATGCCACCAAACAATATGAACTTTTCTTTACTAATACAAATAAAATATAAGTGGAAAAAAATCTAATTTGTGATAATTTTTTTGTATGCTGGAATACTGAATTTTACCAGCTTTCTTTCAGAGAGAGGACCATATTTAGAAAATGGACAAGTAACTAAAAAAGCAGAGGTTACAATCTGTTTAAAGTAAAATGTTATAGTAATTGATAGAAAATGTTTATGGAAAAACATATTTTTCATGGAAAAATTTTCATTGCACAGATACATTCAGAATTGCATAATTGTTTTTTTTTTTAAATATAAATATCAGTGTGGTAAAGAAACAAAATAAAACCCAGTTACACAATTTTGCTATTTCTGTGCTTTTAACAGGTCATTATGTCCAATATACTTTTATTTTTCCTTGAATTTAAGGCTCTTATCATTGTCCTTTATTTTACATAGGCCTACTTTATGATACAATGAAATCTGCTTGTATTGCATGCTCTCTCTATGCAGGAAAACAGGATGAACAGAAAATACATTTTGGAACACATGTAGAGTAATACCCACATGTAAAAGGGAATGTACACAAATGGAAAATACCAGAACAGTCTGAAAGTTTTATGCACATTTCATTCTATTTTAGAAAACCTTGCACATTCTTTAATATAACAATATACTAAGCTTCAAAACATTTAAATGTGTTATCAATAAAAGTTCTAAGATACCTGTCTTAAGGCTCCATACGACCAGGTCACCATTCCTAAGTCCTGTGACAGCCTCGTCGTGGGGGAGGATGGCCGTGCACTCAGGGGCGGCGTCCAGTCGCAGAATGTTGGGGTCGGAAATGTTGTAGGATGTCAAGGTCATGTCGAAGATGACAAACTCGGCAAAGTTATCAAAGGTGTTGTTGAAACCTGCGACCACGTACCTGTCATTCTGAAATTACCGCAGGTAAAATATAGTTCAGGCAGAGTACAGTACAGATCTATATGAAATAGGTAAAACATTATACAACTAAAACAATGCATTTTAAACATTGCACACATTAAAGGAGGTAATGAATAGCATAATACAGGTGTAACTAATCAGATAGAATATAGAAAAGATAACTTGCTTTAATCTTTTAAAATATAATAATTAATGTGCATGGAATGTATTTAATACAAATTTTGTTTAAAAATATAGAAATAATACTTGTAATCAAAGTTATGAAATCAAAGATATTTTTATGCCAAATTGCTCTGATTGATGAGCAAAAAAATTAAGAAAATAAACTATTTTAAAAAAGAAACCTAAAACTGACTTGTGCTCAATATGTTTAGAAAAATTGAAAGTAAATTTATATTAAGATGCTGTACTAAGAAAACAGTTTTATAATATAAATTCTTTTATAAAATGATTTTTCATAATGCTGACCTGTGATAAGCTGATATAGCTAATGTAGTCATTGTTTCCTACAGGGGCGTCGTATCTCATCTCCTTGATGGCCTGGTTGCCCATCAAATCCCACACAATTATGTTGGTTCCCCCACCAAACTTGTCCGAGCGGCCAAACACCACTTTGTCGTTGTCGCTGAGAACTGTCAGGGCCGAGCAGGTCTCCTGCATGGCCATGTCTAAAGGTCGACCTGATGCAAAGTCCCAGATCTGTAGAGAGAGTAATGAGTGAGAGTAATGTGAAAGAGTTTAACACACTTTCATGAAACACTTACCTCATTCATGAGATGTGCTAAGGAAAAAGTAATAAGAATCTAAATAGATCTAGGCCTACTTTAATTTCTTTTTTTTCTGGCTATTATAACATAAGGTTTGAAAAAAGTTTCTAATTTATTTGAACAAGCATTAAATTAATAAGAAATTATATATATTACAAATAAAATGAGCTATGGATAAAGTAGAGAGAAAATAAATACTTTTATTCAATTTTTTTTTATATTTGGGCAATATAACAATTGGTTTGTAAAATTTTATAACTTACTTGAACTAGCATTAAAGTAATACAAAATATCAAATATTACTAATAACATTTTATGGGTTCACTTTGAACTTGATATTAGTTAAAAAAAATTTGGCTATTACAGTAATACACTTGTGGTAATAATTTTTAAAACACATATTCAACTGTCGGTATAAATGTTTATTCAAGTTATAGATTCCTTAAATATCATCTGAGGTTTAACTTCCTATAGAATGGTTAACTTTGGTTTAACTTCCTTTATAAATGTTAACTTTGGTTGAGCTTCCTGTATATGAGTTAACTGAGATTTAACTTCCTGTCTAAATGTTTAGACAAGTTACTCTAGATATCCACTTGGATTTAATGTCCTCACCTGGAACTGATAGTTGTGTACACCTTTAGGTGTTGAGTATTGATTGATTTCTAGGTCGGCATTGATTGCACCAACTAAAAGCCTGTCATTGCAAACTAAATGGAGATTGGTGGAGCCCACTGTTTCACCTTGCATGATGCGAAGGAGCTCTCCTGTCTGCAAAAAACAAAAAAAATAAAATTGTTGCAATTTTTATTTTAAATAAATAAAATCCTACCCATTTAGAACAAAAATCCCTTAATAGTTTATTTATTACAATTGCCAAAGAACAGAGGGGTGAAAGTGGCGTATAAGCGAAACTAGAAATGCAAAAGACAAGTAGCCTGTAGACTAGGCTAAAATGAATTGATGTTGAGAAGGCAGACCTCCGGCAGCTTAGAGTTTAGACATGGAAAAAGAAAACAGCAGACAAGTCTGAGAGGAAGAAGGTGAGAAAATGGATCAAAATCCTGAATGGATTGTGAAGCAACAGGTAAAAGTAAAGTAAAGTTTCCCTTTCAAACCTGATGGTCTATGAGGCAAGTGAAGAAGAGTTCACTTGCTTCTGTGATCTCGGAATATGAAGAGATAGTGTGGTCAGCACTACGCCCAGCCGCCTTTACTTTACCTAACAGGAGTTAGGTACCCATCAGAGTTGGGTGGACTCAGAGACGGTCTACTGACTTGAACCCGGATTCGAACTCAAGACTTACGGGCTAGCACTCCAGCTTTCTACCACTAGACCACTCCGTCCCGTGGAGCAACAGGTATGGATGGATAATATCCTATTAATGTTTTTTTTAAATACTAATCAATAACTAGTAAATAGAAACACTGCAGTGTTAATTGATGTAATTATCAGGAGCTTCATTCAGCCATGTCTAGACTTACATTCATGTTCCAGACTTGAGGGGGACCTAAGCTGGACCCAGTGACCACACTGTGACCATCAGCTGTCATCAGGCAACAGTCGACCCTGACCTCTTCACCCATGGCACCTGGGGTCACAATGACATTGGACATACTTCCTGCTGCATAGCTGAAATAAAGTTTAAATATATATATATATATATATATATATATATATATATCAGGGGTCGGCAACCTTTTGAAGCGGAAGAGCCAAAAATTACAATTTTCAAAATTTCCCTGGTTTTAAAGAGCCACTAACATTTTTTTTATTTCAAATATTTTATTTTTTTATTGAGATTATTAGTATTTGTTCAAAGAGCTGGAGAGCCGCATCTTGATATCAAAAGAGCCGCATGCGGCTCGCGAGCCGCAGGTTGCCGACCCCTGATATATATATATATATATATATATATATATATATATATATAAAGTGATCAGCACAAATAAATAAGAAAAAAAAACAACAGTTGACTGATCTTCTTCATTAAAAAATGTAATGTTGGATGGGATTTCCTCAAACAAACTTAAGTATTCATTGTCATCATGTTAAACTCCAATTTCACGTGATTTTCTTTTTGGATTTGTTTAAATAACTTTTGTTCATCCAAGAACAGAATACAAAGCAGCAGTTTTCTATTGGGTTGTTGTCCCAAGCTATTGAGCCTCCTCTGTCCTGGGTTCAAACTCAGGACTTCTGCAGTAAATCACAAGTTCTACTTCCCAACCACACCACATTTAAAGCAAATATGTATCATTCATGAAGAGTAATTTTGTGGTGGCTATAAGTGTCAATACATCTTCCATAGTATACAGCTAATGTTTATATGTTATTGGTAATCAACTTGCAAGACATAGTTTAATAATATTGCAATCTTAACCCCAACACTAATTATAATTGTGGAAAAACTAAGTCCAAAACTTACCCCATCATAGCCTGCTGCCCTCCTACATTGCGGATGGTCTTCATGGAGAAGTTATAGTTGGAGGACATGGTGGAAGTAGAGTAGCCTGCCCCTACTCCACCTGCACTTAGAGTGTTGCTCTGATAGTTGGAGTGTACACCTGTGGGAGATAATATAAAACATTAACTCAACTAATACAGGAAGTCAACTTTATAAGGAACAAAAGATTAAAAATTAAGAAGGGTTCAGATTTTAAAACATTTGCAAAATAACACTAATGACAAAATGGTAATGATTAATTCATAAAATTTAACATTGAATGTTTTTAACATTTTTTTAAAACCATTAATTATTATTTTCAAAACATAATATCGGTTTTCAAGACAAATTTTTTTATTTTCCAAATTTTCATTTTATTTCAAATAGGACAATGTGATCAGACTGTAAAATAAATTAGTGATTGAGTTCAGATTCCAGGTCGTCCCTGAGTCCACTCAGCTCTAATAGGTACCTGACTAACGTCAGGGAAAGTAAAGTCAGCTGGGCATAGTAGCCTGCTGACCACACTACCCCTTTATATGTGGAGGTCACAAAAACAGGGAATTTCTACTTTATCTGACCCACAAACCACCAGGTTTGTATCAGTAAATTTACTTTTTTTAAACCATATTTGAACTTGTTAATAATATTTTGACATTTTGAAATCAGTTTGAATTGGTAAATTTACTTTGTTTTTTAACCATTTTGAAATTATTAATAATACTTGTATTGATAATATTTTTACATTTTGAAAAACATTTAAAAAAAAAATTGAACTAGGTAAAAAGAAAACTCTACTGCACCTGTAGCAAGGTCATAGTCTGCTGTACTGTTGCCTCCTTCTATGTGGTAGGACTGCAGTGAAGCAGGCGTGATGGCTGCGGCACTACTCTCAGAGTAGGCGCTGGCTCCAGAAGTTGAGGCCATCTGGTGTCTACCCATCCGTGGGGTGCCAATTGCTGTTCCTACAACGTAAAAATTTACAATATTTCAATTCAAAAACCTAATTACCCATTTTAATTGAAATATAAATTTTAAGGAAAAGAAATAATAAGACACAAAATTTTAATTTTCTAAGTATTGAATATAACCAGTTTGCTATGTATGACAATATATTGGTCATCACATTTGAACCTCAAAATAATGAATATTTCTTGTACTACTTTTGTGTTGTATGGATTCTACACACAATATAAAACTCAATATTGCATCCGACAAATTATAATAATAATATCTGCTTGATAAGTTGGCTATTCTAGAATTTAAAAGTGACAGTACGTAAGTGAGTTGAGCTTTGAATTCCCTGAAAATTTGAGATTAATGAACTCAATCTTATTGTATGGTTTATTGAAACAAATAAGCAAAAGAGTAAAGGAGAAATAATGTCAGGTAAAGAAAATTGATGCTGGGTTTATCAGTGTGGCATAAAAATGAACCACAGTAAAAGAGTTAACTGATTAACTGAATGTTTAAATTCAATCAACTTTACTATACCTGATTTATTATTTGTGTTGCTATTTTAAATTAAATATTTGACTACAAAGGAAAATAAAGCATTTAACTAAAGATCACAGATTTACAATATAATCAGTGAATATTTGTAAAGATATACCATTATCAAAATATAGTATTGTTACATATATTAATGAAGAATATGCACTTACGTACACTACACAATCATGTCCTATACTGTTTTTAAGCACAAAAAGCTATTGAAATGTAAGTAGTGTAAGGAGTATTTAAAAATGTTAATAACAGGCTACTGTTTTTGTCAATGTACATGATTGTTTTTTCTAAATGGGAATTTAAGTGTTAATATAATTAAGAGGCAAACATTGATGATGCAATTAATACAATATGCTTTATACATTATGCTTTATACAATATGCTTTATACAGTAAGCTTGTCATACAAGATTACTGTGTATAGATCAGCAAATTTTTCTATCCATTTTGAAATAATTTAAAATGTTTACTTTATTGAAAAAATAGTTATTTAAATACTGAGTCACTTCCCTTAATGAATCATATTGAGACACTTGAAAATACTAGTTTTCTCAAAAAATGTTATTAAGAAGCTTTTTAATAAGACAGTTGTTATTTGGTTGTTTAGTTAATTAATAAACTGTTAGCAAGCATTCCATTTTAGTTCTTTTGTTATAAGTAGGTTTTAAATTTCATGATTTTTAAAATTAGATCCTTCAGTTAATGAGTGCAAAAAAAAAATCGTTAAATGTGCAAACATTACGTCACAGTTCTCCGCCTGGTGTGCATCTAAAACTACATACAATTTGTACGCACTGGTGCCACATATGGAATCCAAAGACTATACAGAATATATGCCATGAAAGATATACAAAGCATATGAGCCATGGACTACGCTATGTTGGTTATACCTTTATTTGAAAATGTACCCGTGGCGCGCAGAGTTGCAGAATCGTAACTATCACTGCGTTGGTGGGCACTGGTGCTACTTTGTTGTGTGTATAGATAAGAGCTAGAGCCTCCGGCACCAAAACCTTGACCTGTGGCGCTCTTAGAGTAACCTGTGACAACAGCATCTGTCATGTCAGCACCTGGTGGGCCATTAGTGATGATGGGAAGGGGAGGTGAAGGGGAGAGAGAAAATAAACCATGCTGTTAAATTCATGCATTGTTATCACACAATAATCTAATTTTTTTTAAATTAATTTTTTTTATCATGCTTACACATGCAGAACAACAAAGTAGAAGTTTGATACATAACACACATGCCTATATTAAAAACAAAACTGTGTGGGGCAAAGTCTAATATTGAATTTATGCTAAGATTATTTATACAATATCTTACATAGATAAGTTATTTTATTACATGATTCTTGGAAAAAAGTCTATTAAACTTGTTTCATATTTTCATAAAGAAATAAAAAAACTATCTCTGAGTAAGTTATTTTTAATCAGATCTTGTTTAATACCATTGACAAAGTGATATTTTTAAGGAACAACTAAAAAACCACTACTGATTTTTCAAACACATCTACTCTACATGACTTTACAGAGAGTGCTAAAACAACATCTTACAGACAACCATATCAACTGTACTAGCCTCATTCAGTTATCTTTAAGTGGTCTAGTGTTTTTAGATCTACCCATGCCAGTGTAAAAAATGCAGCAGTACAAAAATGCTAATTATTTAGTACTTTGTGTTCGTAACTTGTCTAACTAACACAAGCTTATAACATACATCAAATATACACTGTAAAATAAGGACACACAGTTTAGATGCAGCAACTTTCTACTAAGTGTACATTCTAAATACAAAGTGTACATTTAAATGTGGGAAGGTGTGTCATAGTGGTAGAGCGCTAAACTGCTAACCCGTAGGTCTCGCATTTCAATGGTTCAAAACAGTAGAATGTCTTTGAGTCCACCCAGCTCTGATGGGTACCTAACTCATGTTAGGGAAAGGCAGCTTGGTTTTGTGCTCAGCACACTATCCCTTCATATGCAGAGGTCACAGAAACAGGTGAACTCTACTTCACTTGCCCCATGGACCATCAGGTTCAAAAAGGGAAATTTACTTTAGTTTATGATAATGTATAAAGGTTGTAGCTTGGTTGAGTTGCTAGATATTTGTATAGAAATTACAGTAGGTTGCCTGGTAGGATACTTATGATGATAATATTGTTGCATCTGCTTTAAATTGTATAGTTGCAGAGTATTTGTATAGAAATTACAGTAGACAGTGATGATACTTATGATGATAAAGTAAACAGTTTTATCTGCATTAAAGTCTATGTTTATATGATGATGCTTTACACAACATTTCTTAATTATATGGTAAAATATTCTAATATACAGTCATTATCTTTATTAAGAAACCTTGATTTAGAGGATGATTTGTTTTTTTAAAAATAGCGTAAGATATTTCAGGGGTGAATTTGAAAGTCCTATTTGATTGGATGGAACTTACCTCCAGCACCTGCACCAGATCCTGCTCCAGCTCCCACACCAGCTCCACCTGTTGCAGCTCTTACAGCTGCCATGTTGCTGGTGCTACTGGGGGCTGAGATGTTCAGGTTGGTGGGCTGCGGGGGCTTGAGGAAAGTGCACCAGCCAGGCTTACATCTGTGCACACAGAAAGGCTTGTTAGATGTTTTCAGGAAATTATTTTAAAACTCAAATATAATAGACTCACTAATTGGTAATAATTAATTAATAAACACTTGGTAGTATTGTGGCCAAGGGACACAAGGATGTTGTGACTAAAAAAAATCCACTATAAGAAAACGTCCATACAGAAGGGGCATATTACAAGAATTAAAGATAGATGCCCCAAATAGTTTTTAAATAATAATAAAAAATAAAAATAAAATCATTTTTAGAAGGCCGACTTAAGAATAAAAAAATCTGAAAAGCCCACAAAAGAATAAAGAGAATATGTACTTCTAGAAAGCCTACAGTATAAATATAGAATAAAAACTCTTAGAAAAAGCCCACATAAGTATAAAAAACAACTCACAAATAATGACCACATAAAAAAACAACTCACTTATGAAGTCCCACATAATAATTAAAAAAAAACTCACATTAGGCCCACATAAAAAACAACAGCTCAGTTATAGAAGGCCCGCATAAAAAAAAACAACTCACTTGTAGAAGGCCCACATAAGAATATAAAATTACTTGTAGATGGCCCACCCATAAAACAACAACTCACTTGAAGAAGGCCCATATATAAAAGAAAACAACTCACTTGAAGAAGGCCCATATATAAAAGAAAACAACTCACTTGTAGAAGGCCCATACATAAAAGAAAACAACTCACTTGTAGAAGGCCCATACATAAAAACAACAAATCACTTGTAGAAGGCCCACACATAAAACAACAACTCACTTGTAGAAGGCCCATACATAAAACAACTCACTTGTAGAAGGCCCAAACATAAAACAACAACTCACTTGTAGAAGGCCAACATATAAGAAAAAAAACTCACTTATAGAAGGCCCACCAATAAGAAAACAACAACTCACTTGTAGAAGGCCCACATAAAAAAAAAAAACATCAACTCACTAGTTGAAGGCCCACACATTAAAAAAACAACGCACTTGTAGAAGGCCCACCCATAAAAAAACAACTCACTTGTAGAAGGCCCACACATAAAACAACAACTCACTTGTAGAAGGCCCACATCAAGCTACTTGCTAACGCTGCCAGGCCAAGGATTGTGCCCATGACTGCCCCAGCTCTGGGTCCTACAGCAGGCAAGGACGGCACTGACGCCACTTGGGCTGCCGCCACTGTGGTCAGGAGAAAATAGAACTCTTAGGGGATGATGTTTGTTGTGGTAGTGATGTTTGTTGTGGTAGTGGTGATGTTTGTTATGGTAGTGGTGTTTGTTGTGGTAGTGGTGATGTTTGTTGTGGTGGTGGTAATGTTTGTTGGGGTGGTGGTGATGTTTGGTGTGGTAGTGGTGATGTTTGTTGTGGTAGTGATGTTTGTTGGGGTGGTGGTGATGTTTGGTGTGGTAGTGGTGATGTTTGTTGTGGTAGTGATGTTTGTTGGGGTGGTGGTGATGTTTGGTGTGGTAGTGGTGATGTTTGTTGTGGTAGTGGTAAATTTTGGTGTGGTGGTTTGTTATCCCCCACACTATCCAACCATCCTTCTAACATCCACCACATCATCAACAATCCTGCTACCATCTCCCACATCATCAAACATCCCCCCATCAACAACCATCCTTCTAACATCCCCCACATTATCAACCATCCTGCTACCATCCCCCACATCATCAACCATCCTGCTATCATCCCCCATATCATCAACCATCCTACTACCCTCCCCCCACATCATCAACCATCCTGCTACCATCCACCACATCATCAACCATCCCTCACATCATCATCCATCCTGCTACCATCCCTATGTCACCAACCATCCTGCTACCATCCCCCATATCAACCATACTACTACCATCCCAACATCATCCAACCATCCTTTTCCCTCACCTCCTCCCCCTCCTGACACTGGAGGCCCAATGTTTGTTATATCCGATCCAGTCCCTCCGCTCCCAGCAGGGTAAACCACAACATTGGTGCCACTTCCAGAAGCACCCCCTGCTCCTCCGGCACCCCCTGCTCCTCCAGCACCCCCTACAGGATCCCAGATAACGCCAGCACCTCCAATATCGCCTGGAATCACTGGAATGTCTGGTTCCTCTACTATATTAACTGTGAAATCAAAACATTAAAGCATTAAATCAAAACATTACAGCGTTAAATCAAAACATTGCAGCATTAAATCAAAACATTACAGCATTAAATCAAAACATTACAGCATTGAATCAAAACATTACAGCATTAAATCAAAACATTACAGCATTAAATCAAAACATTACAGCATTAAATCAAAACATTACAGCATTGAATCAAAACATTACAGCATTAAATCAAAACATTACAGCATTAAATCAAAACATTACAGCATTAAAAATCACTGTGATATTCTTCTCCAAGATAATCTTCAACTATAGGATCTGTAAAATCAACACATTATAACACTAAATCTCTGTGATATTCTTTTACTTTAGGAACTGTAAAATCAACACATTATTACACTAAATCACTGATATTCTTTTACCTTAGGAACTGTAAAAAAAAAACATTATGACATTAAATCACTGTGATCTTCTACTAGTCACACTGTAAAAACAATGTTAACATCTATAGATTTATAATTAGAAATCTGAATCCACAAAAAGAAATGTGTAAAGTTGAAAAAATGTATATAACCAAATCACTAGGATATTTGGGCTCATTTACTAAATAAAAACATGTTAAAATATACATAGAGAAATGGAATACATTCAACTTTCATTATAGAAGCAAAATGAGTGTCAGTAAATTATTCAAGGCTATGTTTTGGCTAATGACACTGCTAAATATTATGCTGTGTAGTTGTAACTACAAATCATACACTGTAAGAAAAAAATTTGAAAAAAGAAAAAGAAAAACAAGATACTTACTAGTAGTTATAACTAGAGGTGGTGGTTTAGTGGGTATTGTTTCCCATCCTCCGTTAGGTTCAGAAGGTGTTCTGTAAAAAAAAAAATAACAATTTACATTTGATGTATATTTTTTTAAAGATTATGCATTAAAAACATCTTGGACTTAAAATCTTTAAAATTAGATGTTGCGTTGTCAGACATTTGTAGGGTATACATATCCATTTTTTATATATGAGCTATATACAACTCCCATTAATTTTATTATAAATAAACTAGCATGTCGCGCATGGTGCAATTTGGCTGTTGATTTAAATATAATCCTGACCATATTGCAGGGTGGCAAATGAGCAGATGCCGTGTGCTGCAATAGTGACTGTAGAACTTGGGGGTTATCCAAATGTACACTACCACCAGGGCACTGAAGGACGCCCTTAGTTTAATTCAGTCATTGATTGTAGTTGCCCACCATATCCCTAGTGTAGGGCACTCTTTTAAACTAATGTAGATTACATGGTGCTGTCAATTACTCCCCCTCCCCCCCGAAGCAATTAGGGGCAGGGTAAGGTCAGGGTTAGATATAGTTTGTGGTTTGGTTTTACGGTTAGGGTCAGAGGTTCTTCAGCATGCAGGGGAGGGTAATTGACAGGGGGTAATGGCGCAGGCTATATGACATACATACGCACTGTTTCAAACAGGTTAAAGAATGCCATGGAAATCTGACCTTTGACTGTGTGTACAACTGCCATTCATTTAATTCAACACCAATAATTGTTGTTTACTCACACAACTGGTCCAAGTTTAAATGGATGCGGTGCCACCTTTATGTCATCATAAAGATCTACGTAATCAGGCCTGCTTGTAGCGTATGGGAATATCAGTTTTCCATTGACGTAAAGACCTACAGATAACACACAGGTAAAAATATTATACCGAAAAGTTATGCAATGTGATCAGTACCAGTTAGTAATTAATACAGTTAGTAGACTATAATAGCTTCATTTTTATTTGCATTATCTTCTCCCTCTTGTGATCAAGACAAAATATGGCAGATGGAGTAGAGTTCATCTGTTTCAATGACCTCAGCATACAAGGGGATAGTGTGGTCAGTACTATACCCAGCCGCTATTTTTTTTCTAACATGAGTCAGGTACCCATCAGAGCTGAGTGGACTCAAGGACGTTCTACAGACTTGAGTTCGGAATCCAAACTCAAAACTTTTGGGAGATCAGTCTAATGCTCTACGCTCTGCCATGCTGTGCCTTATTCTCGTATAGAAAAAATTAACTGAGTTGATTAAGAATTTAACATATAATAAAAGAATACAAATTTGGGATAATTTATGTGATAGATCAGTGCCTTAACTCCCATTTCCATACTTACCCATACCAACAAAATTTTTTTTTTTCCAATCTACATAATTTTTAAACTTCTAATTTTAGTCATAATTAAGTATTTCTATTTCTGATTGATAATTCTTGAATTAATCTGTTTCTTACCTCCAATGATGCCTTGATAGCCATTCAGTATCTTTCTACCTTGATAGACCCCTCCAACATAGATTTTAGTCAGTCTGTCAAAGCTGCCATGGGAAACTGAAAATATTGCAAAAATTGTATATTAAAAAAAGGAAAAACAAATTAGGGAATAAAATTTATGTTGATTTATTTTTGCTTATCATCAAAATATATTATACATGTGGATTTAAAATACCTAAGAGATATGAACAAATACATAAAATAAGCAAATTTATTTCCCCTACTGCTTTAACTTTAGCGACACATTTTTTAAATTAATTATTACATTTTTAGTTAAATAGTTCATCAAATTTACTAGGCCTGCTTATACATTTAGCAAAAAAAAAATAAGTGGAAAAAATTAGCATATTTGTTTACAACATATTTTTTATATCAAATACAAATTGGACATTCCGCCTAAAACTTGTGAACACAAAAACATGAATTGATGAAGAAAAAATCAATTACCTGCATGGTTGTTAAAGGATTCCATCTTATCAACAGTAAGAGTTCCTTTATCTTTAGTTCTCAGAAGCTTGATAATATGGTAGTTGCCATCACTGACTAGTATGTCACTATTGGTTATTGTAGTTGCTGCCCCTGTTCCGTCTGTATCGTATTTCACTACCACATATCCATTGACCTAATAAAAACATAAGAATGTTTTTTAACAAGGAACATATGCTGGTTCACATATAAAGGAAACATATCTAATTTGTTGTGATATTTATAGTTAATAAAACAGAAAAAAAAAAAATTGCAATAATAAGCTATTAAATGCAATGAAATTTTAAATCAATTAAAAAAACTGGCTTTCTTGAATACAAGCATAGGTTGCTTAAATGTGTTAAGTATTTCACAAGAAACTATAAAACCTTTTAAAAGAGGATATATTTTAGTTTTAAAAAAATATATAATTTAAAAAAAAAATGAAAAAAATAAAATAAAATAATGAACAAATTACCAGCCCAATCTCAACCATATCCTGAAAGTGATCAGAAATTAGCTTCACAAGAATGGCATCCTTCTCTTTTGTCATCACCCCAAGGACAATCTCATCCTGCTCGCTGTTTAGCTGTTCTGCAAATGGGTAGCGGTAGATCATCATGCCGTATTTATCTGCATTACTCTCACCTCTGAAGTAGTAGCCAAGTGGCTCTGAAATATTTAAGTCGTAAAATAATGTCCTACTGTAGCAGTAAAATATTTAAGTCATAAAATATTTTACATGCACCACCATGTGACTCTGAAATATTTAATTCATAAAATAGTAAATAAAATTTTATAGAAATAAAATCTATTAAATCAGCCAGTTTTAAATTTTTTTACAGATATAACATTGAGGCTAACTATATTTAGTAGATCAATTAGTAAGCTACAAAATATTTGTTTTAAAATTAATACAATTATTACTGATATTGCTAGTTATATATGTAAGTTATAAAAAAGGGGAATTTAAAAAATAAACGAACCATCTCCGCAGACTGGCCCAGAATAGGCAGTTCTAGAACAATCACATGATGTGGTGCCATTGTTCAGATGGTCTTGACACAAGCCTCCATGCATGCAGGTCGTGGGAGTACACTTAGTCCTCACATCTAGAAAATAATGATAATAAAAAAATAAACAACTTGTTACAAAACAATGTTGACTGACATCTAAAAAAAATTTAATTAAAATTATAAACCACTTTTTACAAAACAAAAAAAAATGTTGACTGATATTTAAGAAAAGTAATGTATTATATTTAAAAAAATAATATTAACAGAACCTAAAAAAAAAGTTATAAACCAATTTTTATTAAATAAAATTGATTGACATCTAAACAATTAATACAAAATTTTAAACCACTTATTACAGAACAATTGTTACTGACGTTTTAAAAAATCTAAACTACTTTTTATAAAACTTAAATATGGTCAAAAACTTTCTGAAGATAAAAAAAGTAAAAGTAAAATTCCAATTTCAAACATGAATGCCCATGGGGCACTTCACTTCAAATAACTAAATTAGCTAAAATTTGAATATAAACTTTGAATAATGTTGAAGCTATCCTATTTAAAAGTCTCAGCTCAATTCATTTAAGTATTTAAATTGTTAAATACAAATTTAAACTTTTTGACATGCATTTAGATTGTTGATTCAAATTTTATTTATTTTTAGAAAGCAAATAACCTTGACATGTGTTAAGGATGTTGACATTCTGTGCTGTTCCCAGTTGGTAAAGGTCCGGCATTTGCAGACCCACATCCACAGATGCTAAACATCCGCTGTATCCAGCCTTGGATGCAATGAACTCTTTGATGTATGGCTTCTGCAGCACACTCTCAGGGGCACCACCTAGACAAAGCAGGAAATTTAATTAGAAATGTAATTAGAAACTTAATTAGAAATTTAATTAGAATTCTTTTTTAAAACAACTGATCTAGCTAAATTTAGCCAACAGTGATGGTTAAAACAATAGATGATATGGTTAAAGACGTAAAGTATCAATTAATCAGATTACTTCTGAAATTCAGTGAATGTGATAAAATCCGTTTAGTTCTGGTATATACTTAAAGATAGCATGATAATTTTTACTGTAAGACTCTAAATATTATTTAAAATTCACTTCTATATCTCAGATATTGCAGTGGCTTATAGTTAGTTATAGTGTCAAATTTTTTTTACCAAGACTTATTATTACTTCTAGGAAAAAACAGAGGAAACCCAGACCTACATACCCATGTTAGACCTACTATAACATCTCACCAATGTAAAGAGTAGATCTACTCATAAATGTAAAGATTAGACCTACTCACCAATGTAAAGACTAGACCTACTCACCAATGTAAAGATTAAACCTACTCACCAATGTAAAGACTAGACCTACTCACCAATGTAAAGACTAGACCTACTCACCAATGTAAAGATTAAACCTACTCACCAATGTAAAGACTAGACCTACTCATTAGTGGAAAGATTAAACCTACTCACCAATGTAAAGACTAGACCTACTCACCAATGTAAAGATTAAAGCTACTCACCAATGTAAAGACTAAACCTACTCACCAATGTAAAGACTAGACCTATACACCAATGTAAAGACTAGATCTACTCACCAATGTAAAGACTAGACCTACTCACCAATGTAAAAACTAGACCTACTCACCAATGTAAAAACTAGACCTACTCACCAATGTAAAAACTAGACCTACTCACCAATGTAAAGACTAGACCTACTCACCAATGTAAAGACTAGACCTACTCACCAATGTAAAGATTAAACCTACTCACCAATGTAAAGACTAGACCTACTCATTAGTGGAAAGATTAAACCTACTCACCAATGTAAAGACTAGACCTACTCACCAATGTAAAGATTAAAGCTACTCACCAATGTAAAGACTAAACCTACTCACCAATGTAAAGACTAGACCTATACACCAATGTAAAGACTAGATCTACTCACCAATGTAAAGACTAGACCTACTCACCAATGTAAAAACTAGACCTACTCACCAATGTAAAAACTAGACCTACTCACCAATGTAAAAACTAGACCTACTCACCAATGTAAAGACTAGACCTACTCACCAATGTAAAGATTAAACCTACTCACCAATATAAAGACTAGACCTACTCACCAATATAAAAACTAGACCTACTCACCAATGTAAAAACTAGACCTACTCACCAATGTAAAGATTAAACCTACTCACCAATGTAAAGACTAGACCTACTCACCAATGTAAAGACTAGACCTACTCACCAATGTAAAGATTAAACCTACTCACCAATGTAAAGACTAGACCTACTCACCAATGTAAAGACTAGACCTACTCACCAATGTAAAGATTAAACCTACTCACCAATGTAAAGACTAGACCTACTCATTAGTGGAAAGATTAAACCTACTCACCAATGTAAAGACTAGACCTACTCACCAATGTAAAGATTAAAGCTACTCACCAATGTAAAGACTAAACCTACTCACCAATGTAAAGACTAGACCTATACACCAATGTAAAGACTAGATCTACTCACCAATGTAAAGACTAGACCTACTCACCAATGTAAAAACTAGACCTACTCACCAATATAAAGACTAGACCTACTCACCAATAGAAAGACTAGACCTACTCACCAATGTAAAAACTAGACCTACTCACTAATGTAAAGACTAGACCTACTCACCAATGTAAAAACTAGACCTACTCACCAATGTAAATATTAAAGCTACTCACCAATGTAAATATTAAACCTACTCACCTATATAAAGAGGTCCATTCAGGTTGACCTGGTTCAACATACTGTGAGAGATGGAGGACTTAAGGCTGTCCACCTCCACATTCATCTGCTTCTGGTTGTTGGATGTGATGGTTACCAAGGAAACGGAATGCCACTTGCCATCACTGTACACTTGTGACTCGGGTGTGGGAACGTGAATTGGTGGCTTATCTTTTCCTGGCATCATCTGTACAACAGAGGATAAATCAACCATAAGTGGAATGTAAACAGATCTAGGAGAATAATTAACATAAATAATTTTTCTGTTGACTTTTTACTCATTTTCCATTAAGACTAATTAATAATCTGTTACTTTTAGTAGAAATACATCAGTGTTAAGTCTAAGTGGAAAAATATATTCTCACACACAAAGATGTGTATTTTTTATGAAATTATTAAATACTGATACTTGTCATCACACCAAAAAGTTAAAATGTGCACACACATGTGCACACACTAAGAATTTATGACTCATATGCCAAGGTCACAAAAACAGGTGAACTCTACTTCACAGGTTTGGAATTTTTTTTTTTTTTTTAAATGTATGAGTCCATCCCCAACAACCAAAACAATATGGGAACTGCCACCATCCATAAACCTTTTAATATCCCAACATCAAAAAGAAATTTACTCCTTTTAATATCCCTACAAAAGAAATGTACACTTTTTAATATCCCTACAAAAGAAATTTACTCCTTTTAATATCCCTACAAAAGAAATTTACTCCTTTTAATATCCCTACAAAAGAAATTTACTCCTTTTAATATCCCTACAAAAGAAATTTACTCCTTTTAATATCCCAACATCAAAAAGAAATTTACTCCTTTTAATATCCCTACAAAAGAAATGAACACTTTTTAATATCCCTACAAAAGAAATTTACTCCTTTTAATATCCCTACAAAAGAAATTTACTCCTTTTAATATCCCAACATCAAAAAGAAATTTACTCCTTTTAATATCCCTACATAAAAAAGAAATTTACTCCTTTTAATATCCCTATCTCAAAATGAAATTTTCTCCTTTTAATATCCCCACAAAAGAAATTTTCTCCTTTTAATATCCCTACATAAAAAAGAAATTTACTCCTTTTAATATCCCTACAAAAGAAATTTACTCTTATTAATATCCCTACAAAAGAAATTTACTCCTTTTAATATCCCTACAATTTTTTTTACACATTTTAATATCCCTACATCAAAAATAAATTTACTCCTTTTAATATCCCTATATAAAAAAAAAATTTACTCCTTTATATATCCCTACATGTACTTACTTTAACATGCAGTTTCCCTTGGAAGAGCTCCACAGCAAAGAGTTCCCCATTGAGTCCCTCGTTCAGCAGAATCACACCATTGGGGTTATGTGTTTTAAACAGGAAGTGAACATTTAACCCAGAGGCCTGGTTCAGGGGTGGCAGCTGTACGTACGAGTTGTACGTGGGGAATGTGACGTCATTGAAGATCAGAGACGGAAGCTCTCCGCCAACAGAGAAATCAAAGCCGGCTGCGCTGAGTTTGTTGAAGACATCTACCTCACCGATGTGAAAGTTCTGCAGGTATCCTATAAACCTTTTGGTGCTGTCAAAGTTGGGCAATTCACCTTTGTTGAAACCGCCGATAAAAACATTGTCTATGTATGAAAAGTAGCCATCGCCTGGTAGAATTCCTGGAATTATAGAAAAATTATCATAAATTAAATATTGTGATGTAGATATGGTGTAATTTAAATATATGAAGAAATAAAAATTTAAACGAATACAAGAAGTAAAACATAGTAGCCTTTTCACTCTTAATTTTAACCCTTTAACAGCCAATATTAAATCCACCTTGTCAACAGATCCAACTCTAAACAGAGCATTGTGGCCACAATAAGGAACAAAGTTAGCTATAAAGTTAATTTCTTTAAACAGCTGGGTCACAATCCAATGAAACAAAACAAAAAAAAACCGAGTAGTTTAGCTAGTTTAAAGACATAAAATAACACTTCCACTATTGCAGCTAAGGGATGGATGGGATTCTAGTAAAGTGAAATAAATTATGATGTTGGCTTATACTTCTCAATATCATCTTATGTTGAAGATTGCTTTTTGTTTTAAAATCTTGGGCTGTTAAGGTTAGATTTTATTAGATCAATGCTGGTATATACCCGGTTTTCATTGGCTAATTTCACCAAAATTTATTTCTGCTTATTGCAGGTTAAATTATCTAAAAATTTTCCATGCTCCTCTCAGATTGGCTTAAATTTTCATGAACAGTTAAATTTGGTTGAAATTGTTCTGGCTTAAATTTAATGTTACCATGCTTAATTAAAGGTTCAGCTACATTATCAAAGGAACAAACATTATAATTAACAGAAGAAAACAACTGCTATTTACGTTTCTGATGTGGCTCATCATCAATCCAAACTTCCATCTCGTTACCACGCCGCTGTATGTAAACTGTGTGCCACCGCAAGTCATTCAAGTTATCTCCAACATAGAAAACCTACACAGTAACAACAAAATGATGGTAGAGATGATAAGTAATACTGGAGATGGCTCTTGATTCTAAACATAAATTATATTAAAAAAACACGGAGTTAAATAAATTGACTAGATATTACACCTTATAATACTGAGGTAACTGAATTGACTAGCAATTACACATTAAAATAATGAGTTAACCAAAGACTAGATGTAAAAAAATATCCAACAAAACAAAAACTAAATTTAAAAATTTACATTAAAGTACCAAATCATTTATTTTTATGTCAGGTGCATATTAGTGGGTCATGTCCATATTAGTGGGTCATGTCCATATTAGTGGGTCATGTCCATATTAGTGGGTCATGTCCATATTAGTGGGTCATGTCCATATTAGTGGGTCATGTCCATGTTTGTGGGTCATGTCCATATTAGTGGGTCATGTCCATATTAGTGGGTCATGTCCATATTAGTGGGTCATGTCCATAATAGTGGGTCATGTCCATATTAGTGGGTCATGTCCTGAGTACAATACTTTCTACTCTTCTAAGTGTTGCCAGGTACTGATTACAACTGAGTGAGTACATTGGCTTTCTCTCATTTATAAATAATACTAAGTCAAACTTTAATATCTATCTTAAATGCTATCATTCATTCAGCCTAAATTTCTATGTAGTTTTATTTCCACATTGTTACACGTTAAAGCAAGTTTATAAAAGAAATACCTAAAATAAAACATTTATAAAGCTTAGTGTGTCATTGTTACATTAATTGACACCAGACTGACCTGATTAGTGCCTCCTAGATTGGTTGATATCTTGATACGTCCGTTTTCAAGGTCACCACGGATAAACTGGTTATTTATATTGGACTTGGTTTGGAATATAAAACCATTGCTGACCATAGTTTTAAAACGGAATGACATGTTATCCACATGGTTAGTGAGGGTGGGCGTGTAGCTCAGGATGAAATGTCTGCTACCGTTCATCACACCAACCAAGGCCACTGAAAAGTGGAAAACATATTCATTTTAAAAAAAAAAAAGGAATGAAATATCAAATTTGAATTTTATTTTAGTGAAGTTATCTATTTTGACCTAACAATTTACAGTCAGTTGAAGTAGAATTTATGTTTCTTGACGAAGGCATATGAAAGGATGGTGTAATTAGCGCTATATCCATTATTAAATTTAAATTTTTTTTAAAAATATACTTTCTAAAAGGGCATTGTGGGCTAGCTGTAGTGTGCTAGACTGAAGGTCTTGAGTTAGAATTCGGGTTCAAGTCAGTAGAATGTCCCTGAGTCCACCCAGAACTGATGGGTAACTAACTCATGTTAGGGAAACAAAGGGGGTGGGCATAGTGCTGACCTTTATATGCTGAGGTCATAGAAACATATGAAATCTACTTCATCTGACCCATGTGTCTTGGGCACAAATGGGAAATTAAAAAATATATTTTCTAAACACAAAGAGTGTTGTTTAGAAAGGAAAAATTATAATTGTATTTTTTAGTTTCAAAAAATAGGAAACACATACATTTAGGTTTTAAAAAAAAAAAAAAAAAAAAATGTTTATTCTATTTGTCACTGAAAGGTAAGAAACTTAGAGTGCAAAGTAATGTTTTCTGCTGAGGGGGAATAAACATAACATCAAAGAAACTCTGTTTTCATATAAAACTATTCCTTGAGTCGTAATGGTACTTACAATTTTGACATTGCTTTCCTGAATATTCTGTGGCACGGCAGTCACACTGGAAGCTCTGCCAGGTGTTGGAGCAGTAGCCGTGGGCGCAGGGGTTGAGCTGGGAACAGGCCTGGGGCATGGCGGAACAGCCTGGGTTTACATACCCCAGGAGTTGCTAAAGATAGCACAAGGGAGTTAATGATATGGTAGTAAAGATAATTTGGGCAGGGAAGCGGGTAATTGACGTAGGGCTGAAGATTTAAATAACATGTATAGGAAGATTGACTCTGATTTCAGCCTGCTTTTCTTTTTGGATTTGCTTCCATAGTCTTTGTCCAACCAAAAACAAACTACAAGGCAGCAGTTGTTTGATTTTGGAGTTGTCTCTCCTAGAAGAGTGGCTGCCCCCAGCTGACAAGCCTCATCTGCCCGAGGGTTCGAACTTCAGACTTTTCGGTTTAGCAACCATGAGCTTTACCTACTCTACCATGCCGACCCCTTTATACACCTGAATGTTGGGACTTATGTTTAGAATCCATGCAGAATTTATTGTCAAGGCACTTAAGAACTTTATTATTATTATTAGGTCATTAAAGTATTAATGCATTTATCTTACCATGATGTGGAGATGTGGACAGAAATCACCTTTAAAACAAATCATCTTTACTTAAGAAAAACAACCAAGATATCCTACTCTTACCCAGCCATTAAAGGGTTACAAACTTTCTTACCATGGTGTGGAGATATTGTCGGAAATCAGTTTCAACACTATTAATCTTCGCATTAGAAAGAAAGATAACCAAGATATCCTATGGAGAGCGTGGCCTAAGCAATACAGTGCTAGACTGCTAAGGGTTAAAAACTTTCTTACCATGGTGTGGAGATATTGTCGGAAATCAACTTCAACATTATTAATCTTGGCATTAGAAAGACAACCAAGATATCCTTCTCTTGCCCAACTGGCCCAGGGCAGGTTGCTGTAGCTTTTATATCCACCATAATAGACAGTAGCTGAAAGATTATTAACATAGCTATTTATTGTTCATCAAATTGATAACAGATATTTGTGCGTTTCAGAGATGAGAAATAATTTCTTTTTTTTTTCAATGAAAAAATGACCTTCGATAAAGAGTTGTTACAGTAAAAGGGTTGAATATACATAGAAACACATTTCTACAAACATAATGAACTAGCCAGGCCCTGCACTGGCCTTTGTGAAAAATGTATCTGTAGAGTAATAGTATCAAACTGATTGGACTCTCAAAGAAGCCAATAAAATATTTTTAAAACTGTTTGCTGTGTTACTGATTTTAAAAACTTGATCGTATGTTTTTCTACAGGTTGAATGTATTTGTAATAATTTAAATTTTCTGTAACGAATCAAAAATGAAAAAAAAAAACCAAAAAAAAAACAACAAAAAACAAGACTAACAATGTTTTTTCTCGACATCAATTGTTATAGGTAAATTAATAAATACACATTTTTTAGCAAACATGACCAATGTCATTATTGTATGGTTGTAACTATGTTTATGCTGCTATCTATGGCACCACCTGAAGTAGCTGGCTCACTGTATTGTACAGTGATGCCAATATGTAGATAAGCGTACCTGGTGTTTTCGGTAACCGCTCATCAGGGTCTAGCTTAACTCTTGTCATTTCCCCATCAAGCATCATGTTGATCATGGAGTCAGTGAAGCGGAGTTCCAACTAGGATACATGCAAATACACAATGACACTTTTTTAAAGAAGCAAAACTATCTTTAAAATACAACGAACACTTGATTTACTTTATATAGTCTAATATATAAAGCTCAGTTCTGTATGTGGCGGACAAAAATGTGCATCGTTGGCATTTCTACGGATTCAAGTGTTAGATCAATTATCGTGCGCAGTCGTCTAAATTTACGAGTCAAAAAATTACCATTGAAAGTCTTTAAAAACAATTTTCATTCTATTTACTTAAAAGAATAATTTTCAATTATGAACGCGACATAAAATTTTTAAAAAGTGTATCGACGTTTATAAAATTTCTAAAATTGTGTCGGAAATGTATTGACTGCACGGTTACTTCCCTTTAATAAAAAAAATTCTTAAGAAGAAAGAATTTACATTTTATTACTTTGTTTTTGGTGTTAAGAAAAAAAAATAATTACATAATTAGCGGGGATTGATTAAGTGCAATGTAGTTAGGTATTTTTAATACTGCCTTTTATTTATTCTATACACTGAACATACTGTTGAATAATTATTTTTTTTTAAAAATCAATAACATTTAATAAGCCAGGTCCTACAAATCATATACGTTTATTTCTTTTCATTTACGGATAAGCTTGGAGTATTATCATTTTTGTTCACTAAATTGAAACAGGCGCGTCCGCCGGCGCCCCTGCACGGTTCGATTTGGCACCCTGGGCTATCATGTGAGCGCTATGCTGCATAATTTTGTTTTGAACAGTGCGATAGACTATGGATAAGAAAGGTTACTATAGTCTTTAAGTGAATCAAATCCGGGCGTCCTCCGGCACCCCGACAGGGTGCTATTTGGCGCCCCGGGCCTTCCGGTGTACGCTATGGTATCTACGTTCGCGTGAGTTCAAAAGACTATCGATAAGTTATGTACTATAGTCGTTTACCAAGTTCAATCAGGTGGTGACGTCATGGTGCGTCCTCTGGCGCCCAGAAAGGGTGCTATTTGGGGTCCCGGGCCTCCCGTGTTCGGTTTCGCGCCTACGTTCATTAAAGTGAGTGCAAAAGACTATGAATAAGTTGGGGTACTATAGTCGTTTATTAAGCTGAAGCAGGCGATTCAGCCCCGTGAGCACTTTGCGTTTATGTTCGCGTTAGTATTTTCTTTGTGTTTAGGTTGGGTTTGCGTTAGTGGTTGCGTTTTGATTTGGTTCGTTTTTGTTTTCTTTTTTCGTTTTCGTTTGTGTTTTATTTTCTTTGGGTTTGTGTTTGTATTTGTGTTTGTGGTTGGTTTTGCGTTTGGATTTGGTTTGTTTTCGTTTGTTTTTGCTTTTGTGTTTTTTTCTTTGGGTTTGTGGTTGGTTTTGCGTTTGGATTTGGTTTGTTTTCGTTTGCTTTTTCGTTTGTGTTTTTTTCGTTGGGTTTGTGTTTGTGTTTGTGGTTGGTTTTGCGTTTGGATTTGGTTTGTTTTCGTTTGCTTTTTTGTTTGTTTTTTTCTTTGTGTTCGTATTGGTGTTTGTGTTTGTGGTTGGTTTGTTGTTAGGTTTTTGTTTTCGTTTGTATTTGTAATTGTGTTAGCTTTTATTTGCGTTTTGTTATTTTGGTTTTGGTTGGTTTTAGTTTGGGTGGGCAATGCCGGGTTTATGATGATAACTAAACATACACGTAATGGTCTTTAACAGAAAGGTTTTTCACAGAAGCCAGAGCAGGGCCTGGCCGGGACGGCTAGTATATATATAAAGCTAATGCAAAAAGATATAAATTACATTTTTTTAATATTAAAAGATATTTGTTATTAGCCAAATTCTTCTGCAATTCCATTCCTCCGCATTTTTCAATGTCAGGACTATTTATATAAAATTTCATAATTTGTAATCACATATATTTTAAAGCACTGGTGTCAGTATTTGTAAAAATAATTGGCTAAATTTGATATATTTAAAAAAAAAAATTTATAAAACTTAATTAAGTGTAATTAAAAACAACTACCAATCAGTAGTCCAAATAAAGGCCAAGAAAAAGAACACAATTTTTACCTCGTGCTGCTGACCATCTGAGACTTCGGCTTCACGCACTAGAGTTCTCTTTGCCTTGCCCCCCAGGTGATGTACCAGGTAAAGCTTCTTGTCGTAGATCTCTAACAGGATGTAGTCCTTGCCTAGAAGGTTACCTGTGACATACAGGAGCAGAGCCTTGTCTTTGATGGTCTGGAATTTCAGGGACAGGGCGGCGCCATTTTTAATTTGGAAAATCTGAGGAGAAATTAAATACGTTAATTAAAATAAATTCACATCCTATTCAGATAAAGACTTTGTTTTGAGTATTGTTAATTTCAACAGAGACACTAAGAATCAGCAAAAATTCTTGATATGATGCTGTACTGGTGATAATTATGGAGAGGGTGGCCTAAGCTGTACAGTGGTAGACAGCTAACCCAAAAGTCTCAAGTAATTGGGTTCAAGTCAGTAGAACGTTCCTGAGTCCACCCAGCTCTGATAGGTACCTAACTCATGTTAGTGAAAGTAAAGGCGGCTGGGCAAAGTGCTGACCACACCTTCCGTTCATATCCCAAGGTCAAGAAACTTAAGAACTCTTACTTCATTTGCATAATGAACTGCTAGGTCTATAGAGGATTCTTTCCAGATGAAAACTGAATTTCAGAAAATATTTTTTTTTAAATGATGGTATGCCTTGTTTGAAATAACAATGCTGTGGTTCTTTTCTTTAGATAGGTGAGCAGTGAAATCCATGTTAATCTGAATGTGTTTCCGTATTTTCCCTAAATATGTTTTGGTATTTTTGATAATAGATGTGTTTTCTTGAGCACTTTACTGAAATTACCGTGCAGTTATACAGGGGAGTGAACGAAACACTACAAAGTGTATTACATTATTGATGATTTATACATTTGCAATTAAAAAAAAAGTTTTAAGAATCCACACAAGAGCCCCTTACTTCTGGGTATTCCATGTAAAATCTTTCATCCACCAAGGTGAGTGAGGTCAAGGGTGGTGGGAGGGTGGGTGCAGGTGTTGGAGGTCTTGGTGTATACGTTGGTGGTCTCCAAGTGATTGGTGGCCTCTGAGTGGGTATACGGTCGTTAATTCTTGATATGACGTCAACACCAACGTTGTAGGAGATAGTTCCATTGATTAGGTTAGCATTGTACATCACCTGTTGAGGATTTTATATCTACATTCATGGATTTATTTAATATTTAAAAGTCTTTTACAATGACATTTACACATGGGATGGCATGGCCTAGCGGTAGAGAGCTAGACTACAAACCCAAAAGTCTCAAGTTCGAATCTGGGTTCAAGTAAGTAGACCGTACCTGAGTCCACCCAGCTCTGATGGGTACCTAGCTCATGTTAGGGAAACAAAAGCAGCTGGGCATAGTGCTGACCACACTATCCATTTATACGCAGAGGACTCTGAAGCAGATGAACTCTACTTTATCTGCCCCATGTGTCTTGGGCACGAACGGGAAGAGATGACGATGCACAAAATCTGATGTACAAATGAATCTCAGAAGGCCAGTTTACAAAGAACAAAAATTTAACTCATCACTGGTTGAAGCCTCAACATTGGCTACTCACTTTGGCTAAGCCTCCCGTCAGATACTGCTCCACCCGATTGCCTGTAGACCTCAAGTTGTCGCGGGTGCCGCCCAAATAAACCAAGCCTGGAACCAAAAAGCGAATGTCCCTTGGGAGAGTGAAATCTTGTCTGAATTCATCTTTGCTACCTTTTGAGGCTATCAGGGTCAATTTCTGATGGAGGAATATTTGAAAGTTGTATTTGTCGTATAATGAACATGTCTAGAAAAGTATAATATAACTTTAATTCATTTTATTCATAATGCACAACTGACTTTCTTTGACAACATAATTATCTAGACACTAAGCCTAAACACTATTTATATATCTAGGCCTTGACCATAATATCATAATACTATCATAGGTAATATATATATATATATATATATATATATATATATATATATATATATATATATTTGTATATGTACATCTAAACTCTACAGATTTATAAACAAAAAATACTTATAACAAAGTTAATAATAACACACTTGTATTGATATGGGCACATAGCCTACTACAATGTTAATTCTAAAAAACTAAACACTAAAAACATTGCAAAAAGCAATTTGTTTTATTATTAAATATGATTCAACCTCACATTTAACCTGTACTAAATTAACATCTAACGTGACTCACTTCACAGTTATCCTGATTAATAATTAACATTTTAATCTACTAATTAACCTAAATTGTTGTACTCACTCTGCCCTTTTCTACAACAGCCTGGAACCTAGTCCAGCTACTGTATTCTTTTTGTGGACCAAGAGGGAACTCTAATGGCTGTCCATATCTATCTTCAGTGACAAATACCAACTGACTATTCTAAAAATAAAATGAATTATTAAATCATTAATTACGGCTCATAAAACAAATGAAACAAGTTAATTAAAAAGTCTAGTGACAATTTTAGCGCAATTTCCTTATATTGAACCTCAGCTTATTAATAGGGTACAAAAATAACGTTTGATTTAATAAGTAAATTAAATCGAGATAAATCATATATTGAGCAAATAAATAATGCAACACAAGTAGTTTTAATAATTCAAAACAAAATAGAAAAAATATTTATTAACGAGATTTTTTAAAAAATCCTTTCGAACCTCCGCTCATTCGCTATGGTAAAATCCTTTCGAACCTCAGCTTATTAATAGGGTACAAAAATAACGTTTGAATTAATAAGTAAATTAAATCGAGATAAATCATATATTCAGCAAATAAATAATGCAACACAAGTAGTTTTAATAATTCAAAACAAAATAGAAACTAGCCTCCCGTATCAGTCGAAAAAAAAGGGGAGAGTAGCCTCCCGTATCAGTCGAAAAAAAAGGGGAAAAATTAAAAAAATCCTTTCGAACCTCCGCTCATTAAAATCCTTTCGATCCTCAGCTTTTGCGCTAAAAACCTACAAGACGCTCAGTTTAAAAATTCTTAATTAATTTTTTGTGACCGAACGAAAGGATATTTTTGAAAACTTTCTTCGGCAATATTGGTTTAAATTATTGCAGGAATCGATTGGTAAATGTTTCAAGTCGCTAAGTGGTCTGGTTGCCTAGATATGTAGCAAAAACTGAATTTGTTCGAGGTTTTTTGGCTTTTACGGGAAATCCATGAAAGAAACCCGGAATTTTTATGGCCTATGTTCATCCTCGTAACTGGCTTAACATAATTGCTTTTGGAACTAGTCATCGATATTGCTTCGTTGAGGAGGAGATACGACTTAAAGCTGCGGACACACATTCATCCATCCATCCATCCATCCATCCAGAAATGACGGGTTAATAAACGCAATTCTCCAGAATGGAAATTGCGCTAAAAATAAAAACATTAAACTAATCCTTAAAGGAAATATTTAATTAAAATCAGAGTAAGATTACAAGGAGATACTTAGTCTGACTTTTGAAGAGGAAATTATAAGATAATGACAATATGCCTTTACTTTCTTAAATTAAGAATTTCTCAAGAAAACTACCCTGTGAATGTTTAGAGTTTTTTCATTAGACTATTAAATAACTAAAGGTATGATTTAATATTATATAGTATGTGAGTATTCAATACGTCCTTTACCCGTAAGTACAAATAATGCTTGTCAGGCCCGTTCTCTTGGAACCAGATAAGTCCGTTAGGATTCCTGGACAAGAACTGGAAGTTGACCTCTTCCCTCTGGACTGGCAGCTGGAAGAAATAGGATTCCAGCTTGGAGAAGTCGATAACGGCAAACTTGTCGCCATTGAACTGGATGATTTCTGAGGTGCCGGTATACCCAGGGGCGCGGGTGTAGTTGGGAGATGGGGGGCGTCGTGTGGTGACGGAACCAAATACTGCGGAGAGAATGGTAAGGTGTTAGCATGAATAAACTTTTTATTAGTGAATATGTGAACATGTTTTCTGAAGCTGTGGATTAGGAAACTTTTAGGTAGACTTTTAAGTTTTTATAGATGCGTCTTCAGTCACAGCCTGTGGGGATAGATACATAAAAAACAAGGTAGGTCTTGTAATATAATTCATGCATTAAGGGGTTAATTAAGTGGATTAGCAGGACTTAAGTAAATTTAGGCATACTATGTTATATATTTTTAAACTGTCACATTTGGACCATCACTTGTTATTTTAAGATTCCTGGTCTTTCTAGGAACTTCAAAAGAGTACTGCATTTACAGTTTGTTAGGAGTTATGACTGTCTTGTAAATTTACCATTTTAGACTTGGTGTTAATTAGAGCAGAGGAAGTAGAGTTTAGCTTGCTAAGAGATATAACTGCCCAGTAAATTTACCATTATTGACCAGAAGTTAAATAGAGCAGATGAAATATAGCTTAAATGTTCCTGTGATAACTTTAACATTTTAACGACTTAACAGAATGAGTGGTCGGTTAATGTCCAGCAGCCTTTGCTTTTCATTATTTAATTAACGTAAGTCAGGTAACCAGAGTATAGATCCAGTGGTAAGCATTACAACTTCCACCAAAGACCTTTTATTTTACAACACAGGGGGAATCACAAAGCATAAAAAATAAAATACTTCGAGTCATCAATTTATAGTACGGTTTAATTTAAAAGTGCGGTTAACATACAGCCCTAAGCTAAGCCTGGTAAGTTTTCCCGCTTCTAAACTACCGAAACACTACAAATAAAATTAGAATCTTTCGGCTTTCAGTGTTGGAGAGTACGCATAATATATGTAGCGCGAGCGTTGAGGCTATGTTGTGTTTATTTTCGCTCAGCACTATATTTTGGTATGAATGGAATTTTTAAGCTTTAAAAATACCCCGCGCGTGACACAGGTAAAGATGGCGGCCGTGGCATAGATATAATCTAGTTGAGCAAGTTAATAGCCAGAAAAGCCCGAATATAGATCTAGATCTAAGAGGGGGTGAAGATCTTGATGAAGCTGTGTGGCTGATGTAATAATATACAATTTATATCATTACATCATATTTCAACCAACACAAGAAATAAATGTAAATGATTCGTATTGTTAAAGTAAGACTGATAATGATAATCATTGCGTTTATATAAAAAAGCAACCAGACAAACGAATGATCACAACGTTAATTCAGCTATGGAGATAGATCTACACCTTGCCACCATCGCTATTGTTCCAACATCTTTAATACACAATATTATATAGAGTGATAAAATAGATTGTCTTATTTACAAGAAAGCACATAAAAAGAAGAGGCGAAATGTAAACAACGCTATTCTAAAACAGGATTCTAACTTTGTTTCTTTCAGACATTTTCTCCCAGGGGCGGTGCACTAAAATACATGGGGGGGGGGGGGGCACTGGTTGAAGTATATATTGTTTTTTTTAAATGGTGTGGGGGTGGTGAATAGGTCTACTCTTTGATACGCCTAGTAAAAAAAGAACAATGAATTCGCAGACTTTCTGCGTAGCCCATGGTTCCGTACTTTACAGAAGGTAACAACCCCCGGGAGTGGGGGGTGGGTCTATATTGAAAGATGCTCGGCTGTTCACAGCGGTGGGGCCACAGAGTTTGATAAACAGGGTTCTCAAGTTGCTGACTGCGGTGGGGCCATAGCGTTTGATGTGTGTACTGTGTATTGATGTGTACCTAAATGAATGTCAAGTTACTTGAGCTTGTGACATCAAGTATACCTGCCAAGCACTTACATCTACGTATTGGATATTGATGTGTACACTGATCTCAAGTTGACGTTCACTGAGATCCTTGTACACACGTCGTGTACACAAAAGTACATAGGTTAACTCTCAGCATGTAGCCTACATCATGAACATTTCTTAAGAGACATTTATTCACAGAAAAACTTAGGTAAAATCTCAAGATTGTATATCATGAACATTTTTTACGGCCTTTTTAATCAATGGTATGGCACTTGTATTAAACTGTATTGAACTTGTAAGTAATTATATGGAACGTGTACTTATGAACTTTTCCATCATCATACATATATTATATGTTTATGATTTTTTGGTTAATTTTTCTGTGAAAGATTTGTTATGTAAAGACTGTGGTCAATTCGCGATACACCACAACAAAAGGTGTGTTGCACTGAAACTGGGCTGGCAGTGGAAAACTGACACAGTGATGTGGACATTATTTAATTTCCAAAAGCCAACTCTCTGTTTACTTTCTCAAGTAAATTTCTCTTTTTGAACCTGGTGTGACTCGGGCAAGTAAAGTAGAGTTCACCTGTTTCTGTGACCTCGGCATATGAAGGGATAGCGTGGTCAGTAATATGCCCAGCCGCCTTTACTTTCCCTAAGTTGAGTAATGTACCCATCAGAGATCAGAGATCTTCCAGGCATCACTTCAGGGGAAGAAAGTCTACCGCCCCCCGAACGAAATGGAATTTATATAGAAAACATATACTTTTACCAGTGTGCCCCCCCTCCCCCCCCCCCCCCCGGAAAAAAAGTCTGGAAGAAACACTGTCAGAGATGGATGGACTCAGGGACGTTCTACTGACTTGAACCCGGATTCGGGACTTTTGGGTTAGTAATCTCGCGCTCTACCGCTGAACCACGCATTCCCCGTTTACTATCTAAATCAGACTAAAACCGTACAAAGCAGGGTCCGGCATAATCAAAGAAAATTGTTCTGGCATGAACAGAATTTGAATCTAGAACCAATAACCAATCGTGTTTTGTGTATTCAACACGTCATTTCCTCAACATTCACAGAGCCATAAGCAGGCAATTCTGGCTTGCCTCTGGGGAGAAACAGAGAACGACACCCAATGTCAAGTTGATAAACACTAGTTAACGCTAGAACTACCGACTCCAACCAACGCATGCATTAACAAAAAAGGTAAAAACAGGTGTACGATTCAAGGTTGTATTATCTAGAGCGGAGGTCTACGTACACCTCACTGGCACCTGGAATGGTGCACTTAGGGGTGAGTCAGGGTTTCAAACGTGAGGTTTGAACATGAGAACATCAAAGGGGAGGTAATTCAAATTGAGGGAGAAAGCTAGTGCTTTAACGAAAGGAATTTGAACTTTGGGGAACATGGCGGATTATTTTAATGATAGGCTCTTTTACCTGAAAGTATTTGATTACTAGAGGGCAGACATGGAGTCTATCCCCCCGCCCTCCGACCGACCGAAATATAATTGATATAGGAAATTTTTTTTTTTACCAGTGTCCGTCCATCCCGATCCCCCCCCCCCCCCCACTCCACGGAGAAAAAAAAAGTTTAAAAGAAACACAAGTAGTTTGTATGACGACTGTGCTGTAATAGTTAAATGAACGAATGACATGTGAACAGAGGCGTAGCGGGGGGGGGGGGGTCATAACCCCCCATAGACCCCTCGGTATATATAAAAAGTATGAGGGGGGTGGGGGGGGGGGGGTGCAAATCGAAAGTTTGAGGGGGGTGCAAATCGGAAGTTTATCCCCGGGGTAAAAATTGGACCCCCCCCCCCCCCTTGAGACGATCCTGGCTACGCCACTAACTGTAATAATGGGTATGTAATAAGGAATATACTAAATTATACGAAGATACTGCAGAGACAGTTAAACTGCTATTTTTATCTGGGAAATAACAATATATGATGTTGACAACTTCGTTTTATTGACTACTGATAAGTGAAAGAAAGTAATCAATGTGTTTTTATGATGGGCGACTCGAATATGTAATAAGCATTGACAGTTGAACTGTACATTTTATCTGGGGGCACTTGAATGTGAAGAGGGGGCGTAATGTCTGTGGAACAACTGTAATGAAATTGCGAATGTAATTAATTAAATGGCAATAGATGTGACTGAAGTGTTTTATCAACGTCAACTTAAAAAAACTACAAAAATAAAAACGTAATGTTAGAGTTTCAGGAAGTTGCTGATACACAGATAAACTTTACACGTGAGGAAGTGAGTTGCTATATTTAGATGTGTGTGTGTGTTAAATTTTTAAACGCTCGTTGTTCACGCTGAATTAGGCTAATTAAAAGGTAATGCTAGAACAGCTTACAGAATGGAAACGCTACAACCCAACGTTGGATGTCTACGTTTATCACTGACGACTTTAAAGTTAGGATATCAACATTAGCACTACATTGAATATTATGTAGTGGGTCAAAAGAGCAACATGAATATATGAGTAGTGGGTGTAGGGTTTCTTTCAGACATTTAAAACTAACGGATATGGGATGGAGCCAATTATAAGAATGGTTAAAGTAAATATCTTTTGTTTAATAAAATTCTATTTCTTCAAGTTAGAGTGGGGGAGGTGGGGAGAAGGGCATGCTCCGGGCAGTGCCCCCTCCCCTTCCCATTTTTAGAGATGAGTGAAAGAAACCCCGGGGTAGAGTGCACGGGTGGGGACGTCGATGGACATGCACCGGATAGGCGGTACACCCACCCACCCCTCCCACAAAGATGCCTGAAAGGAACTTTTGTTTGGGTTGCTATGTAAAAAAACCCACACTTTATCACCATTCTCCCAGCCCTAATCATACCCCTACACGGATGTGCATGTGCAGTTAGACTTACCTACGACCAGCAGCAGTAGACGCATCATCATTGTTAGCGTCAGATCTCCCATTACGAAGACATAGTTTTAATCCAGAATATGAATTTTAAAAAATATAACACATTCACATTAATCCCACTGGATCTTTTTATCTTACACTATTCCAGTAATTTAATGTGGTATCTTTGTTCAAATAATGTAACTATGTCCGTAAACACTAAAAATTTAGAAGAAAACAATATTTGATAAAAATATTCTTTAAAATAAATAATAAAGTAGCAACAAAATCTTGCTTCACGGGCGGTTAT